TATGTATGACGACTGAGGATGGTCAAGAGGGTGTGCGCATGGGTACCTAATTTTCTTGTAGAAGCACGAACGCAGTACCGATTCTATGCCTCTAGCAGTAATGTTCTCAGCATGTCATTCACGACTGTGAAAACGCACCCCGGCCCTAGATGAAATATGGGTGGTCTTGGACCTCGAGCCAAAACTCACAATCGTCAATTTTGTATGAATGCAGATGCCTATTATGCCATCTGCAGAGGAATTAGACTGGTTCTACAGGATGCTCTTACTAAAACTCAGTCTAACGCTTCTCAAGACAGCAAATGTGTCATGTGTCAGCTGAGGATAGATCCAACTACGAACCCTGGCAGGGTACTGACAAGATCAAACCACGAGATGTACGATATTGATAAGAAACACGGTCCGAGAAGTTGCAAAAGAGCAAGGCGTAGGCGGAAAAACGTTTTCCGCAGGTTGGAGTTGAAATGAACTGACAAAGGCTGTATAAATAGTTCGGGTGCAAGAAGCTGCCTTTTGAGTCATACGGTTAACCACATCAACAAAAGAAAACTATCAAATTTTTGTGAAATGTTGTTTATGATAAAGAGATAAAGAGAAGCCGCCCGAGTTCTACCATGACGGGTTACGTGGGCGCCAGTGGAATCATCATAGCGGAGCTATTCCTTTTTCACGATCACTGTAGCTTTTAGGCGGCTCTATACAGGGAATAAGATCGTCGCTGTCGGTGTATATTGCCTGCTACCTCGGCAATCAGATCGACAAATGGATGTACCACACAACTACAAGAAGGCCACCGTTGCTCGTCATAGTGCCAGACCCCGAGTAACTGTATTGTAGGGCAGTGCTGGGACACAAACAATACTGAGACCTGGGTTCAATCGCCCCATTCGCCCGACATAAAGCCGAGCGATTCCAATTGTTCTCGTCAGTCGAGAGTACTCTCCGACGGCAAACGCTACAATGTTTTGTCATTCGCCGAAATTGGCATCAACAGCAATTTACTCGCACTTGTTGAAAAATCGAAGGTACCAGAGGTCCAAAGGCTTTCGGGGCACTGGGAGCGGGTCATTGGTGAAGGAGGGATTTACTTAACTTGAAGCCAAAATATCACTTTTCTATCTATTCTCCTCTTTGTCTTTATTCAAATAAAACCGTCGGCGTTTTTGAATGAAATGACCTAATAGTTAGCTGGTGGCTGGTGGTTAGCTGACAAAATGGTTAGCTAAGAATTATGAGGAACCAATCATTTGTCGTCGATCGTTTCTGCATTTTCGATTTTTCCATTTTTGGTGCAGTAACGCTGCTGGCATGCTGTCAGTCCTGAATGTCTTATTGTGAGCAGTACTAGCAGTCATTGATAATCTGTTGAAGACTCCGTAATATGTTCCTGATTTTTTTTCATGGTCTTACGGTAGTGCACACGTTCCGTACAGGGGACCAGCGGGGGGTTTCCTTCTGCCTTTGGAGCGACTGTTCTTCTTGTTGGCTTCTTTTTTGGGTTTTGCTGTCTCATGTGTTATATCCCCGCTCGTGGCTTTTTTAAGTTTGTTTTTTTTAATAAGTACTTCTTTCAAAACACTTTGGGAAAGTGTTGGAAAGTTGGGAGAGTTCCGAATACGGTACGTAGGATAGGACGCGCAATGTCAGCAAATATTCCCCCCGCAGCGACAGTGACGGCTCTGCTCAGTGAGTTCACAACAGGCGTACGCTAAGATTCTTCTGTCTCCACAATGGGTCAAATGGTTGTCACAGGCTCAACTACTTGGTTAGGTCCGATATTCACTCTTAGTTTTCGCAGTTGTCTAACATTAGAAGAAGATTATGTTCTGAATTCAAAAGAGATTCTTTGAGGAAACAAGGGAACAGAAATCTAGATAACGACAAATTCGGGTTGGGTGCGCAGTGAGAATGGATCAATTGCGAGCTTGAATATGCTTTTAATTATTATTGATTTCTATCTACTTTATTTCCGGTCTTCTATGTACTGTAGTGCGAACACGTTCCTTTCCAGGAGTCGCAACTTCTGAAGGATTTACGTTACTCGAAAATTGATCGAGCTGCAGTAGTGGAGTACTTCACTGCAGGGGATTTCATGCCCAAGGTTGGTAGTTTCATTTATTATGACTATTGACATCACCTTGAAATAAGAGGACCAATCGGATGTATAGCATTTGCCCTCTTAATCTTGCTTTGCCATAAGCCATATGTCTCCTCGTATGCCGAATAATATTCCCATTCAAATGAGGTCATTTATCACATTAATTTTGTCTATCTCGTAAATCCTCCGATTTAAGAACTTTCTGTTCAGGAACTCAACGGTAATATGGAACGATTATCACCGTCAGAATATGTTAACGTTTTGAAAGATGTACTGCACATGACTAAAAGTTTATGTGTTGCAAGACACTTCCATAAAATGGATAAGGTTCGTTGATATTAACGCCATTATCCACCAGTGTCGATACATTCAGGAAACGATAGTGCTTCACAATAGAATCTGGAGGTTCTTTGGCTAATGCCGTTTGGACGCACGCAATTTTGGCACCGAGCTCATTTATAAAGTGCCAAGATCACCAAATCCGCTGAAAACTTGTATACATGGGTAATTTAACATCCTGATTACGAATATGACACTCATTCTTGGCGCTGGCGCCAAGAGAGGACACTACGATTACCTCCTGGGCTCAGCCTTAGCAGAGCGCAGATAATCGTAGTGTCATCCATTAGCGCCAGCGCCAAGAATGAATGTCATATTCGTAATCAGGATGTTAAATTACCTCCTACATACAAGTTTAGCGGATTTGGTGATTTAGGCACTTTAAAAATGAGCTCGGAAAAAAATGGGCCAATATTGCGGGCGTCCAAACGGCATCAGCCAGGTTCTTGCATTCCGTTTCCTGCCGGCCTTTTTCACAATGAGAGGATTTCGTGACGCGAAGTTGTGCATCACAAGTCACTCAATGGGAGACAGGTTGAGATAAGTGGTCTGGTGACTCCTAGCAATCAGCTACTGGAACTACGTCGACTGCGAAGACGAAACAGTGGCACGTGGCGCCGCTACTGCTTGGTTGATCCAAATATGAAGCTTTCCACTTCTATCCTTCATCCAACTAAGCCTTCTTTCCTTTCGGGGACGACAGGTTGTAAGAAAACCTTTCATTGGGATAATATACTGTACATCAACTCGCGTCCGGGACTCGTTCTATATTTCTATTTCTATTCATTCCAAATGATGCATCGAGAAATTACTACAGCTACGTGGAACTCATTTTCAGGAAAATCTCGAACCAGAACCGGTCACCGCCAAAAGCTTTTTTGGGAGTTGTCATTGTCTAGTGCGTGGTGTATAGCGCTAGAGCCTAGTCTTTTAGAGTCCACAAAAAGCATTTAGTGCAACAACATTGAAGGAAGTGACGCTGCGCCCTTAACGGGCAAGAGTTAACGGGCTCCTTTAAAATGAGACTATTAAACCGGAACTAGTGAAGCAACGACAGCGCAAAAGCTCCCCTCCTCGCCGAAATGCGCCCTCAGTTTTCTCGCCCTTATGAAGCATTTTTCGTCAGAATCTGATGGAATGTCTTCCAGGAATCTCTCTCCCAAACTTGGAATCAAAAGCGCTATATCGATGTGTGGCCTGTCGATCTGCAAAGGCCCGTTGAAACGGGACTTGGTTGGGACAACAGGTTTGTCATCCTTCACCATAACGCAAGCACTGTCAATATCAACACCTTTCAGTTCCTTGTTTCTGCTACAGCTGGCTTGTATCCTTTCAATGTCGTCGAGGTGGCGATCATATGCACGTCTTCGAGTGTTCATTTGCGTTAACAGTTTACAGGTAACGATTCTTATCGTTAATCTCTGTTGTGTAGAACATAGCTATTGATCACACAACAAGAGCTACTTTTATTGGTTTATGTTCCACTCTTTTTCGAATTTGACTTCTTCAAATCAAACACCATCAAATTCAGTTTTTCCTGTTCTTACATTTGCATTGAACGATGTGTTTTCCCATTTGCAGCACCATTATTAACAAGTTCAAATTCCTCCTTCAAGATGAAAAACTTTTTGCAATTGCTTTTGTGAAGAGGAATTATCCCCAAAAGGTCTCGTTCGACCTTCAGCGTTCAGACTTCGCGACGACGACGCTGTAACGTGCGTCTACGCGCTGGAATTGCAACTGCGCTATAGACGAACTGAGCGCAGGCGGAAAGCAATTGACGCCGGCCGCTTGTGTTTTGAAAAAGTGTGGGATAGTAGGAGGGACGCGTTGCCCAAGCACACAGTATGATAGGGTCGCACTAGTCGTTAGTTCTTCGAGAGGGTAATAGAGGAATAGGGGGATGGCTGATTGTGTGAAGGCAGCGCTTGTTACCCGATACTCTCCTAAACCACAAGCGGCCAGCGCCGATTCCGGTCTGCGGCTGCGTCAAGGGTGCTTGCAGTGGTAGCGCGTCGACGCGCGTTATTCCGAAGTCTGAACGCTGCCCAGAGCTAGTACTGGTGAGGCTCAATTCACTTCTTTTTCTACTCAGCAGCAATGATTCTGATTATATTTTCGTGAAAGTGCATCTTTTGAAAGTCAAATTTAGGATATGCATCGTCGAGATCGACAACTGAAACAAATGCTTGATACCTTACGTATTAAAGCGGAGTCAATTGTTGTGCCGTGGGATCATGTAGTTTGTCATTTCCCACAACAAAGCGGAGCTGCAGTAACTACCCAACGGTTTGTTTTTCTTGCTTGCCTATACGATCGTAACAGAAAAGCATGGCTCCTACAGTCTGGGGTCACAGGCTCTGTTTGTGTCGTAACGACCTGTTGTGACTAGAGAAGCCGGAAGACTCATATTTAGCTGGAAACTTTTCGGTGACTGCTGGGAAGCTGAGAACTGAGGAAAAAGATAGAAAACTGCCAGAGAGCTGAATTTCGCGAACATGTGGTAAGATGGGAAAGGGAGAGGGAGTTTCTGTACACAACAGAAAAATTTTGGGAGGGGCCATATTTTTTGCAAAAATTTCCCGGAATGGCAGGTCGTGCCCCAGTTCAAACTATCCTCCCCACAGGGCGAAGTTTTGAGAAAGTTTGTGGCAGATGTTAAGTAGATTGTGAAGAGGAGATGGTACAAACGTCACCGCACTCACCCTAGTGCTGTAGCCTGGCTTAAGCATTATTGCTTTATCGCTTTGCATTATTGCTTATCGCTATGTTTTGTATTTTTTTGCGTACATAAATGAGTTGTTAAGACCCGCGGTTGATCTCCCAGCGCCTTACCTCTCTGCATTCAACGACATGATCAAGCGATATAGTGAAGAAGCAGCCATAACGCTTCTGAATCTTCCGTTACCTCCAGAAGATGCCAATTTGGATGCTGATAGGTAAAAGATCTT